CCGTCACATTAGCGCATGTCATAAACATAGCTTTTCTTAACGTATGCTAAAATATCTGTGTGAACAAGAACAAAATGCATACACGCGACAGTGTTCAATACGGTATCTGTTGAAGGAGCAGTCACTTCCACTGTAAGTCTCACCGGAACAATGTTCACATACTGAATACCATCAGAAATCTACAGTAAGAATTAAGCTGAAACGAGATTCACCGTTATGACTCTTCTCCAGAATTTTTTTCCGTCTGTTCTATCAGCGTTCAAAATCATCTCAAACGAGATTTCCTGACAAAAGACGAAGGTACAAAAAATGGTAACGGGTGCGGCAGCCGCTAAAGTTCACGTGGCCAGCCTGACCGTTGAAGGCGTAAAACAGTCCCACTACCTCGAAAACTTACAGAACTCGTACGTACGTTGCAGACCACAGATGCTTCATCGCTTTGACTTCGTGGCTTCACCCTAGAAGGCTAAGTCGGGCATCAGTCATCGAGGGCCTTTTCACAGCCTACTAAGCCACAGTTCTTCCTAGACCTGGATTTGTTTGTTCTGATGTATAGAACAGAGACCTGAACCCTGCACAAAGCCTTCCAAGTGCGGAGTCAGATGCACACCCTAAACATCAGGTGGCATGACTTCGTAAGCAACGTAACCGTCGCAAAATTAACAACATTATCCTCCGTTGGTAATACAACTGATCGACACAGAACTGCTGTTTGGTCGCGAGGCAAGGCTGGCAACGTAGGTTCCCATGTGCTCTCATGCATGTCTCAACATATGTCATGGTTGCAGCGGTAAACATTCGCAACGGATTCCCACCATTACCTTCCTGGCGGCAGCTCATAAGCAGACCACGTGGCACATGAAACAGCTTATTCGGACAGGACCATCGATCCCTGAATAATTTCACTTCGCCATCCTCACAGGCCATAGTTTGTGGTCTCAATGGTAGAAGGCTGATCCAGCGCTTTTGCTGTTATTCAGATAAGTCAAACATTGAACCAAATCTTGTTATAAAACTTGTTATTTTAGAATCTTATTATAAAATTTGTGGAGAGGCATGGGCAAGTATTTGCTCGTCTATCTTGATAAGGGGAAACAATGGAAATGGGTCCAAAAAGAAAATAAATCAGCACTGCAATGCATGGACATTCGACATGAAAAAGACCTGACCAAAAATAGCCATACCATTGATATGTCATAGTTCAACTTGTCGTCCATGAGAAGGCAGGCACAGACAAATAATAGGCGAGCACTGTAGCAGACAAGCCCCTTAACAGATCAGTCTAACGACCACTGGATAGAATAAATTTGGACGCTGCGCACAAGTTTGCGCTGCTGCATGCTAAAACTCTTAGTTACCGTGCTCAAGAAGGTTATGACCAGTTATTACCTTCAAGAATGGATGTTCAGAACACGATTAATTCTAAATAAGACTCTAGTGCTTTTAAAAAACAGAATATCTTGCTAGAATGATATACAGCAATTTACATACTATTTGAAACTATATCGGTGAAATTATAGGAGTCATAGCGATTGACCATTGTTCTTTGCAGCCATGTGTAATACATATGGAGTTATTCCACCCATCGTTGTTGCACCACTTGTTCCAGAACGACTGGAACTTGTTTGTGTTTACGAGTCATCCCGTTTTAACCGACGAAGAACTGTGTGATACTACAGTACTACTCGATCTTCGTTATTACACTTCTCCAAGAATCTGACAATAAACATATTCTCTTCGCGATCTGATGTTCGCACTGCTCAAAATGCCCTACTGGAATCTGTTAAAATGACAAGACCACGAATAAGTCGGATTCGTCTACACGCAGTATCCTACTTGCGCTCAAATAGTAACCTGTATAAAGACGGCACTATTAGATTTAAGACTGCCCTGCTCACCGCTTAGAAATATGCAATTCATGGCAACGTGTACTCACCTTATCACTGGTTGCAATCTTGGCTGCCATTTGATGCATAGCAGACCGTTCGAGCTGCTGAAAGCGATTCGTAAGAATAGCCCTTTCTGACAACAGTTCTTCAAGTTTCCTGAAGATGTAAAACAAGTGAAAAATAATAATTTTAGAATTTAATGTTCAACCTACTTGTCTTTTTCTTCGATGTCTGCATTTATCTTCTTAACCTGCTGCCTTTCAGCCTCGAGCTGGCATTTCAGGGCATACAGATTTTCTTCTAATGATCGAATCATTTCAGATTCTTTTCCTGGCAACTTTTCAGGACTTTCGATACTTGAGATTATTTCTATCGCCTCTTTGACATCGTCAGTGTCTTCGATCATCAAATGTGATTCTTAAGCAACGTGGCTATTCATTAAAGGTTAAAGTAGTGACAAATTGATAAAGGATGAAAGAGTAAATGTAGAAACTCCTGAAAAATACTAATATTCTCATATTGAGTCAACTGTAACAACCGCCCTCGTTCGCTAACTGAAGCACTGTATACGACTGCAACTAAACGGGCAAGAATTAAGCTGAATTCTTACACCGAGGTGAGATTAGTCAGCGGAATGTCCGACTCAGATACCCTGGTCATATCACTCGCCTTTCTTTCTTCAGAGGTGGGAGAAAAAATGCAACTATGCTTGTCACATAGTTGCCGTCGACCATTAAAATAAAGCACTCCTGGCTGATGGTATGGGAATGGAAATGAGCACCCCATAATTAACCTCATGATACAAAGGCTTCCAGTAATGGCTCCGTCATGAAAATGCAAGGAAGATTAACTATTTAGCGGTTACAAGTTTTCCTTCCCTTTTTGCCTTTTCCTATGAAAACAAAAGTCATGGAGAATTCAAGTCGCTAGTGGAACCGAAAATACTGGTATCACCAGCAGCACCATCGAAGAAATCCGGCAATTTAAACATGTTGGCGCCGTCAGCTCTTATGATAGTGACTATGATCACTGCTCTAACTTTCAAAAGTCCGGTCAAAACTTTGGTCATGAAGAAAAATAAAGGCCTTCACCAGCATTCACTTTTACACAGCAGCTATCAGGCTTGTTTCGTTACATGAACCGAAAACCGCTGTGATGCCAGAACAGCCCAGTACCAGAGTTAATAGCGTCACATGCACAAATCAGTTAGTACAGCAACAAGAACGACCCGCCGTATTCTGATATTAGTTGACCTATTGGACATATGGGAAGACCTTATAAACCTACTCGCATGGGTCGACCAATCCAAGGCTACGAACCGATAAAGCTTCAATAAATTATCATCTGCTTACGCTTGAGTCGAAACATGACCAAAGAAAGTGAGTACATACCCACGTACATACCATACGCTCTAACATACGTTAGTACATACATACATACATATATGGCAAAGTAAACTAAAAAGATATGCTATAGATGAGCAATATTTTCGTAGCCTATGCAGTTAACTGCTAATATCAAAATGATAATGCCTGTAGATATGCAGTGTAACTAAAGAAAATTATGACAAAGCAACAAAAACAACTCAAACCATGAATTCCCTGGGTTGAATTTTTGTGAGATCACTGACTGTAAACTACTTAGTCTAGTGAACATATTTTTGGAAGAAACGAAAGGATTGAGTGCAATTGCTCTCGCAATTATTGTAATATACTTACTTTTATTGTCTTCAAAAACAGGACACGCCGGACCATCAGGAAACTCAATCGGCTTAAGGTTATATCAACTGATCGAAAATTACATCAGATTTCGGTTCCGTGTTTCTTGCAGAAAATCACATTGCAGTAAAAGCAGAAAACTACTGTAAATAACCTATCTGTGAGGTAATGAGTACAAGACTCTCATCGGTCTCGACTTTTCATATAATCATCGGTCTTCTGTTCAAATTCCATAACGAGATATTTTACTATTAGTAACGATCATGACTAAAGATAACAGTTACCATGACTGACAAACTGAATGGACGGTGATGATAAAAAGCCCTATGAAAATTGAACTAAAGAGTCTCTTGCGGGAAACGAGAAAATATCAGCCGTTGTTACGGAACATAATGTGACCATTAAAGCCAATTTTCTGCCAAGGGATGAAATATTTGAGAAAAAACACTAAGTTTGGAAAGATCTTTAGTATAATCGAGACGGAAGAATACAGTATTAGGCGAATATCACCCTTGGATGTCTTATAACAGATTTGGTCGCAGCACGTAGTTATCCATTCACTTATCTTTACAATCGAGCCATTCGTATTCCAACATTCTGGCTGTTTCACCGGAACAGTGGCTTCCCGGGGATTACGGGCCTAAGTGAAAACATGGCATTTGTCGTATATCTCTCAACCGGTCAATCAGTTTCGCTACTGCAGCAGTCTGGTCAGTATTTTACAGCGTACGTCCCAAATATAATAAAAACATAATTAATACATAATTAAACGAAACTGAACAAAACAAGTTCTCTTTTACTCTTCAACTAAAACAATGTACCGGAATCGATGTGGGCAAGGATTTCCGTCGTGAAGTTAAGCGTTTCTGACATATCGTTGTGCAGTACAGATAGCGAAATCAAAAGGTCATGTGCCACTTTGTCGTCGCCGAGTCTTCGAGCAATTTCCTATAAAAAAAATTTTGAAAAATGTTGTTGGAAAATTGATGAAGTTTCATGAATACGTCTAATTCAGCTTAATCGGCGTGACCTTGTAGTACAAGGCTTCAATTTCTATTTGCATCTCATCATGGAATGAGAAATTAGAAGTAAACTAAATGATAAACAGCTGTTTTTTAGCAATAGCAAAAATAGGTAGAGGTAAATAAAACGAGAAATTGCACGTTTCCTATGCGAAGGATAATGTGCGAGCGAATCTTTTATGGCTAATCCAGCTGTTTAGAAATAGGAAAATTGGTTTGCCTGCTAAGAACACTTTGGGACAAACTTGAATCTCATTAATACCGAGGGACCAGTTTTCTTAGGCTCTTCTCAGCACTGAGAACCAGTTATCAAGTAGAGCCGGTATCAGATGATTTTCTGCAAAGACACATTTTCAGATCTGGT